TGGGCGTGCCCTCTGCTGCTGGAGCATCACTGCTTCTCTCTGTGAGCAGAGCAGGTGCACATGGCACTTCTAAAACTCCATGCACTTGTGTTGATGCCTGCGGTTCAAACATGGGACCACCAGGTTTCCTCTCGCCTCCTCCCACTCCACATCAGTGTGTCCCTTCTCCAAATAAGATCAGTATATTTGCTCCCTTGCTCTGTTGCCCGGCATTCCCAGAATAGTCTGAATCACTCCGCCAATACACCACAGACAGGGAGCCTACTGAAGAAAATGTGAAGTTAATACTTTCTATAGTAGCCACTGAAATGTGAATCTCAAACATTATAGTTTGGCTATTTTTAACTTGAAATAAGAAAACTAATCGAATACACATTCTTTTGTAGTGTGCTTTTGCTCAGTATTATAAGATTCATTCAACATTTTTATTTTATTTTATTTTTATTGTTTTATGTTAATGGAGGGTACAAAGAATTAGGTTACAGTGTTTGTATTTGTTAGGTAAAGTTCCTCTTATAATTGTGTTCTGCCCCCAGGAGGTGTGCCGTGCACCCTAACTTTGTGCGCATTAAGTGGGAGCACACCCATCCCCTTCCTCCTCCCCCCCCCACTCCCCTGTTCCCCTGTCCCCACCCTGAACTGATAAGAGTTTTTCTCAGAGGGTATTAAATCGTCTACTGGCTTCATATTAGAATTAAGTACATTGGATACTTACTTCTCCATTCTTGTGATACTTTACTAAGAAGAATGTGTTTCAACTCCATCCAGGTTAATACAAGATGTAAAGTCTTCATCTTTTTTAGTGGCTGAATAGGATTCCATGGTGTACATGTACCACAGCTTGTTAATCCATTCCTGGGTTGGTGGGCATTTAGGTTGTTTCCACATTCTGACAATCATTCAACATATTTTCAATATTGCTTCTAACTGTTGCTCTCTCTTCATCTTATGAATTCACTGCAGTCTAGTTTTCTGTTCTAGTGTTGGTCGATCTGTGTTTTTGTTGTTGTTGTTTCTTTTTTCTCATCCTGCCCCTTTTGGCCCTGTTATATATTCATCTTCGGGTGCCACAAACTCTAAGGAAAGAAAAAAGATTTTTTGCCTTCTCTTTTCCCCACAAATGGAAATTGTGGGCTGGGGGAACATCACCAGGTCATTGGTTCCCCATAAGGGCTCCTTGGCCCATTAGGAATGGGCTGAATCAGAAGAAGCCCAGATTTAGAACTCCTGGTGTTCACAGAAATGTGACACACCCATATGGTTCACTCATGTCCCATGCCTAGCACGGGACATGCTGAGAGGATTTATCCAAATTCTTGGGTGAACATCTTAAATTTTCCTGGAGAAAATTGCCTTGGAGTTAAGGCCTTGCAGAATGTAACATTTGGTTGCCAAGAGGTCTGGCCTCAGGCATGGCTCCAGAATGTCCCGATAGCACAGATGGGTTCATTCTACTGTAGGTAGCAGTGTGGGGGTGGGAGGCCTGGGAGTGAGACTGGAAGGAGCCTGGGTCCCAGCCAGAGCCATAGCCCCCAGACCAGTGGGTACTGACTGTGTCTGGAAGTGAAGGAGAGAGGCTTTGTGTAGGAGAGTGGCAGCTGGTAAATCTTGAAAAGTAGAATCTTCTAGCATCCAGAATTGTGGCTTAAGAAGCCCAACAAAATGCTGCTTTTGAGTGGAAATATCGGCTTTTGTAGCTAGAGAGCTGAATTAGACCTGATGGTTAGGACTGTCCAAGCCATATTAGGAAGCAAGCTGAATAATGATGATAGCAGGAAAGAGGCCCCCAGAACAAGAAGATCTGGTGAGTCTGTAGAGACGAGAGTCGTGGGGGCTCAGGAATGAAAGGTGACAGCTATTGGGTTTCGTTTGGCTCCTTGGTGTCATTTAAAGTTTTAGAGCAACAGGCAGTGCCTGTGGCTCAGTGGCTCAGGTAGGGCTCTGGCCACGTACACCCAGGCTGGTGGTTTTGAGCCTGGCCTGGGCCAGCTAACAATGACAACTGCAAAAAAAAAAAAAAAAAGTAGGGAAAAAAAATTTTTAGAGCAAGGACAAACACTATTTCTGTGTACGTACCCTGTCTCCTCGGAGATCCAGGTATCCTGTGGCTGTTACTACCTCCAGCCTTGCGTCCTGCTGCTCAGGCAGAGTTTAGACTTGATCTTGAGATGAAAGTAACAAAATAGAGGATATTAGAATAACAGACTTCAGGAAACCCAGAGTTATTGGTATCCTTTGGGTGAAATCTTATCTGGCTGCTGTGTCTTCTTTCTCGTGGATTTGACATTCAAATTTTGTAGTCCAAGGATAGGTTGGACAGAAGAGTTTCCCAACTAGTAAAGAGCCACGGAGAGGCAGTATTCCACCTCCAGCAACCGGGAGAAGGGACTGCTAGGGACATTCACAGTATTATTCTCCAGGGAAACTCAGACAGAAGGATTTCCCACTGCGCCGTTCTCACAAGTGGGGTCCAGCTCCATGCTTGGTGTCCCCAGACGTCTATGGAATCTGATCATCATTGTTTTTTTCTGTAAGCTTTCCTGTCCTTTGAAATTCTGACACTTATTATTATTGATATTTCTCATTGTTTATAAACATCCTTTAGTAGCTTACTGTGGGCCAGCTGCTGAGGACTGAGCCAACTGTGGCAGGTCCTGCCTCCAGCAGATTTCCAATGTCAGAAATAGTATAAGTTTGAGCAGACCCGTTCCCATGGAGGGTGATGGAGGAAGCTGCAGGACAGAAGCGCAGCCTGCTGTGAGTGTCTGCTGGATTCAGTAGCATAGAATAGTGGCTTCCTTTTCTTCTTGCTTTGGTGTCTGTGGTTTTCTACCATTAGATGGCTTTTCCAGACAATGGCTTTTTAAGATGCACTTTCTCTTCGCATGTCTGGGCTGGCTTGAGCACAGAGGTACAGTTTATGGACAGTATGCTGGGACGCTGCTCCTAGGCAGCTGCGTGCTTGCTTTTTGGAGGTTTGTGTACCCAGGCTCCTAAGTCCTGTGAAGGCCGCTGACCTCTTTCCAGATCTTTTCAGCAGTTCATTCTTAGGTGTCCTTTTGTATGTGACTCGTTCTCACTTCTCCTGTTTTGGAGAAGACAGAGCTGGGGGTCTGTGGTCCTCTTCCTTAACTGCAAGCTCATTTCCTTCACTGGAGGTTCTTGCAGAATGTTTGGGAGCCTCTTCCAAGATCCCTGGCATCACCACTGCTGGGGGTCCACTGTCTGTCTGGCTGTGTCCATTCCCAAGTGCAGCCCAAGGTGGTTCCTGGCGGCCCCCAAGTGCAAGGGGAAGACTCTTGTCCAAGAGGGGCCTTCCCAAGTGTAGTTCTTTGCTTTGACAGCTCTTCTCTCTCCCTTGAGTCCTCTCATACTCTTCATTTAAAAAAATTCTTCTTAATTTTTACCACAGCTGGAGATTTGGCCAATGAACTCGTTCGGCACTTTCTGATCGAGTGTACCCCGAAGGGAGTGAGGTTGAAAGGGTGCTCGAATGAACCCTATTTCGGTGAGTTGCCCGAGGTTTGCTGGCTGTGTTCTGCATGTGCCGGGTCTGGGGCTCCCTCTGCTCCCTGCCCTGAGATTTGGACCATCACTCTTCCTGCAGTTCACTGGTATTTCAGTCCCCAAATTAGATGAGGTCCCTCTCATCTGAATTATTATCTGTAAAATAAACTGCATATAAAATTGTTCTTAAGAGCTTTTGTCAAGATCAGGTGAATGAAAAGCACTGTGCCAAGATTAGAATCACAGATGTTAACAAGACTTCATCCTGGTCGGCAGAGAGATGGGTCCTGACAAGGTTAGAGCCACCATGTGACCGCAACCCATGGGCACAGGGAGGAGCGCAGAGCCCCCAGCAGAGCACCCTTCTTTCCCTGTAACTCCAGGCCTTCCCTGTCCCCCAGGCTCATTGGAACGAAGACGTAAGCCAGCCCCACGAGCCCAGTGCCAACGTCAGGCGTCATCGTTATAATCGCCTTTTTAAAAGCAATATGCTTGGGTGATATATGTGGTAAAAGTTAAGAGTTAGGTTGATTGCAGCCCTTACAATTTCAGATCAAGCAAACAGTATATCTTATTGTTTATAACATGGTAACAATGTGTCTATTTATCCCCCCTTCCTTTTTTTGAGGCAGAGTCTCTCTTTGTTGCCTAGGTTAGAGTACTCTGGCATCATAGCTCACAGCAACCTCAAATTCCTGGGCTCAAGTCAGGCAGTCCTCCTGCATCAGTCTCCCGAATAGCTGGGACTACACGTGCCCACCACCACACTTGGCTAATTTTTCAATTTTTAGTAGAGATGGGGGTCTTGTTCTTGCTCAGGCTGGTCTCAAACTCCCAAGCTCAGGCAGTTCTCCTGGCTCAGCCTCCCAGAGTGTTGGGATTCCAGTCTTGAGCCACTGCACCAGCCTTATTTATTTACCTCTGAATAGTCTTGTTGGACTTGTCACTTCTCTGAAGTTCTGTACCAAGTCTCACAATAATCTGAGATGTCAGCTGCTAAAAATGTCAGGCTCTGACTTGGCAGTGTTGGTTCCAGTTGTGACTCTCCTTTGCTGTTGTCTGTTTCGCAGGGAGCCTAACGGCTTTAGTGTGTCAACATTCCATCACGCCCTTGGCCTTGCCCTGCAAACTGCTCATTCCGGAGAGAGGTATGGGGTTGGGTCCTCAGCACTAGTCTGGGCCTGTGTAGGGTCACTCATAGTTGTCAAGGCTCACTGGTTTGGGACATTTCATAAAGAGCCACTGAGAAAATCAGATGGGAAGTTTTATTCTTACATGTGCTACATAGTTTGTGAGTAAGAGACGAGGGGCTTGCTGTTGTTTAGGATGGTCAGTAAGTGAGTAATCAAGGGAGGGTAAAGGAGGATATTCTCCCAAGTCAAGGCAGGAGAAGGAGATTCTGCCACACCTGGAAGCTTCCAGAAATCTTGGATTATGATGAAAAGTTGTCATAGAGCAAAGATTCTGTAGCTTAAAAATATAAAGCACTCAGACTAAGAGACATTCAAGATCGTCTCCATTTAGTGTTTATGATTCTACAAAATGGGTAAAGTGTTAATGCTATTACTGAGATGATGGATGAACTGTTGCTCTTTTTATTTTTTAAAAAAAAATCCATAATAAAACATTTTTAAAAATAATACCCACTGCATATCATGGTGGTCTCATGGTGCATCCCAAATTTCCTAAGTACCCTCAATCTCACATAAGATGATCTAATTTTAAAAATAGAAGTAAGTGGGATTTACCTTTTAAAATTTAACTGTTCATAGAGGTGTAGGCTAATTCAGAGATCAGAAAATACTTTGTTGGACCACATCAGCTCTACGTTTGTTCAGAATGTGATCATAATTTCCAGGGGGTGGATTATTTTCCCCAAGAAAACTCTCAACTGCAAAACCAGCCCGTGTCACCGTCTGGGAATTTTGTCATCATTTTGTCTAACACAGTCCTGAGGATTCTTTGTTGGGATCAGGACTTTTTTTTTTTTTTTTTTTTTTTGAGACAGAGTCTCATTCTGTCACCCTGTTGTTGAGTTCCCTGGCATCACAGCTCACAGCAACCTCCATCCTCCAACCTCCACCTCGGGCTCAACATTAGTTTCAGCCTCCCAAGTAGCTGGGACGACAGGCACTCGCCACAATGCCTGGCTGGTTTGAGAGGCAGAGTCTCGCTGTTGCTCAGGCTGGTCTCGAACTCCTGAGCTCAGGTGATCACCTGCCTCAGCCTCCTAGGGTGCTGGGATTATAGGCCTGAGCCACCGCCTCCAGCAAGGACTCATTTTTGTGTGTTCTTTTCTCTTCTTGCAGATCCGATGGAGGAAATAGCAGAAAATTCTCCCCAAACAGCAGCCAATTCTGCAGCTGAGCTTTTGAAGCAGGGGGCAGGTGAGTAACATGGCTTCATTTTCCATATCTTCAGGTTACTGGGGAGGAAAAGGACTCGGTGACACCATCTCCCTTTGCACTTTCACCGTGCAGGTTTCCTGTCCTGTGACTTTGAAAGAAGTTTCCCTTACAGAAGATGTCACAGAGCTGGGTGGAGCACTAATTTTGGGAGGTGGACCAGGGCTGCACAGGCTGGAAATACTGGTCTGACTTGAGCGCAACCAAATTGAGTGGAATAAATGTCAAGTTCTGAAATTAGTTCAGGGGAAAATGTAGTAAGACAGGATGTGGGTGACCTGCCCTGCCAGCTGTGAATGTAAAAATGTTCCAGAGGTATGACTCAACAAGTCACTTGACATGAGTCAACAGTTTGACCACATGGAAACAGGCACCTCCCGAGAACCAGCTCTTCCAGAAACAGGTCCCCTTTTAAAAATTTTTTTCTAACATATTTTGTTATTTAGAGCAGTTATACATTCACTGAAAAGCTGAGAGGAAGATACAGAGATACACCCGCCCCACTATGAGTATCCTTCATCAAAGTGGCTCATTTATTATGATTGACAGGCCTACCTTGAACATCATTCCCACCCAGCGTCCCTGCTTTGCTCACGTTAGGGTTTGGCTGCGGTGCTGTACTTTCTGTGGTTTGGACAAATGCATGATGACACGTATGCACCAGGACTGCGTTGTGGTGAATGGTTACACTGCCCTGCACGTTCTCTGCGCCCCGTCCACCCCTAATCCCAGGCAGCCAGTGATCTTCCAGTCTCCATATTGTTAGCTTTTCCATTTTCCAGAATGCCATGTAGCTCCTTTCACTTAGTAACATGCATGTAAGTTTCCTCCATGTCTTTTCACGACTTGATAGTTCATTCTCTTTTAGCACTGAATAATGTTTCATTGTCTGGATGGATCACAGTTTGTTAATCCATTCACCTACTAAAGGACATATTCAGTGCTTTCGTGTTTTGGCAATTATGGATAAACTGCTATAAACATCTAAGTGCAGGATTTTGTGTAGATATGTTTTCTTTCCTTTTCTTTTTTCTATTTTGAGACAGAGTTTCACTGTGTTGCCCTGTGTAGAGTGCTCTGGTGTCATAGCTCATAGCAACCTCCAACTCCCAGGCTCAAGCAATCCTCTTGCCTCAGCCTTCTGAGTAGCTGGGACTACAGGCACCCATCGTGATGCCTTGGCTAGTTTTTTTATTTTTAGCAGAGCCAGGGTCTTGTTCTTTCTCAGGCTCCTTCTCGTTGCTCGAGCTCCTGAGCTCTAGCAATCCCAGAGGGTTAGGAGCTTAAGGGAACTTCTGACTCAGCCTCCAGAATGCTGGGTTTTAGGTATGAGCCTATCACTGGGTAATCTGCCAGAGGTCAAAAGCCTGAGTGGAGAACTTGACCTTGAACCCATAATCACAGCTGCAATTTTCACTTTGGTGCTGGGAATTTTAGTACACTTGTTATTTGGGGCATGTTCTTATCATCCATGTTTTTGCCACAGATAACTTATCCTTTAAGGAAAGTCTAGAATGAGGTCAACACTATAAACATGTTCTGTTCAAAAACTTTCAGGCTTAATCTAACAGGCACAGCATTGAATAACTTCACAGAGCAAAACAACACAGAAGCGTAGTACAAAATGCACAGGGAGTAAGAAAATAGACAAATAGAACACAGTAAAGAATCCAGACACAGATCCATAGAAATACAGTTAACTGATCTTTGACACAAGAGCAAAGCCAACACAATGGAGAAGGGACAGTCTGTCCAAAAAATGGTGCAAAAATACTAGACAATCAGTATGCAAGAAATGAACCTGTAACATAGGAGAACGTCGAGATGGAATTAGGTTTGGTGATGACTTCTGAGATACGACAATCAAAGGCACAATCCATGAAAGAAGAAAACAACAGGCTAGATTTCATTAAAATTAAAAATTTCTGTTCTATTAGAGAATGAAAAGACAAGCCACAGAAAAAAGAAAATATTTTCAAGACATATCAAAGAACCGTTATCTAAAATACATTTGAAAAACTCTTAAAAGTCAGTAAGAAAATAAAAATCTCACTTAAAGAATTGGCCAAATCTTTGGCAGACATCTCACCAAAAAAAAAGTACAGGTGGTAAATAAAGCAATAAAAAGATGCTCCAGAGTCATCAGAGAAATGCAAATTAACCCCACAGTGAGGTGCCAAATTCTGGTGAGAGGTGGAGTGACGTCATTCCTGGGGGGAAGCAAAATGGTACCTCTGCTTTGGAAGACAGTCAGTTTCTTAAAAATAAACACGTTCTTACCATACAGTCCAGCAGTGTACTGCTTGGTCTCTACACAAAGGAATTGAAAACACATCCACACAGAGCTGGGGGGCGACACCTGCAGTCCTTGTGCTTGAGCTCAGGAGTTCGAGACCAGGCTGAGCAAGACCAAGACCCCGTCTCTACTAAAAATAGAGAAACTAGCCAGGCTTTGTGGCAGGTGCCTGTAGTCCCAGCTACTTGGAAGGCGAAGGCAGGAAGAGGATTGCTCAAACCCAGGAGTTTGAGGTTATGGTGAGCTATGCTGCCATGGTACTCTACCCAGAGCAACAGAGTGAGATAAGACTCTTTTAAAAAAAGAAAGAAAGAAAGAAAGAAAAAGAAATCACTTAGCTGTAGAGACCTGACTTTTGTATCTGGTCACCTACATAGCGGCTGCAAAGACCAAATGGGTAGAACATTGAAAAATGCCTTCGGAGCTGTTTTTCTGGCCCAAGAGGAGTCCCCTTACCAGCCTCACCCTTTCCCCTGTAAGAGCCCACCTTTTAACTTGGCCAGAACCCAGCGGGCCTAAGTGAGACACTGGGGCCCCATGCCAGAGACAGCTCACAGCTCCCAAGTTTGCTTTAGGTAGAGCCCACAGTGGCTTATAGTGTCCTTCTGTTAAGGTGACAGTCCCCGGTCTCAGCGTGGTGTCCAGGGAGGATGTGGGGCTTTACTGCAGACTTCTACATGAGCAGCTCCCCTGCACTCTTGACCTAGGAAGTGGAGCTATGGAATTAGATGCACTGGTTGTTTTGTTTTAAATAAACCTTTCAAAATGAATTTGAAAATTTTAAAACATGGAATTAATTGGCTTTTATATTGCAACTCGTGTATCAGCAACATTCAAGAACAACCTTGAAAAATGACCATGGTAACACTCGGAGCACACTTACTCCTGTGTGGCTCATCAGCTCATCCCCCACAGGGTGTCTGCAGGTGGGCCTGTGATCTGAGGTCGCAGCTCTGACTCTTGAGTGGCAGAGCCAGGCCCAGTATCCAGCATGCATGTCTGGATGTGTCACAGCCCACCGCTGCCACTGCTTGTCAGGGCCCGGTACTGGCCAGGTCTCAGGCCGGCTTAACTAGGTTCTGGATGCAGACTGCTAAGCTACCTTGCTCAGGAACAATTTCTCTTAGGTGCCTGAGGGCTATCTACTATTAGCTGATGGCGAGGGGTGGGGGGGAGAGATGGAGAGGGAGAGGGAGAGAGAGAAAAGCAGTCTTAGGATAGGTAGATCTTAGTCTTTAGTAGAGCTTGGTAATCTTCAACAGGGAGACACAGTGCTGGCATTCTGTAGGCAGGAGAGGAGACAGAGTCAGAGTAAGCGCGTCCATGATAGAATGCGCATGCTCCTGACTGCCTTCTCCTCCAGCCTAATATAAGGCTGATCTGTGCCTCTCAACACCATGCATAGAGACTGCCAATTCACCACTGCTCTCATCTCATGAGCTCTCATGCTTGTTAGGCAAGTTAAATCCCCCCCTCCCCGCCCTTTTCACCAAGGTGTTTCATTATTGAGCTATACAGTTATTTCTTACAACTCTCATTCTTCCCAGTCATAGGCTCTACGGGCTGCTACATGGGCGTGTCCATCTCCTCTCAGGCAGCAGCCCTGCCCACCCACGCCAGCCATGTGGTCAGCCCCCGGGCACATGATCTGTGCACTCTGCTCTTTTGGCGGTGTGTCCCCTGATCTTTAGCAGTGTTTCACGTTTCTGTTTCCTTTGGATCCCACCTTGTGTCTAAATACAAGGGCTGTTAAGGTACTTGAGGGTTTCTGCTGTGACTTCTGTGCTCCCCACATTGACCACAGAGTCTGGGGGCCCAAACAGTGTCCCTCACTACGAAAGTGACACTGAGCTGAGTTCTGAAGGATGGGAAGGCACAGCCAGGCGAAGGATCAGGAGGTCGCGCTGAGGACAGAGTGCACGTTTGAGTGTCCAAAGCTTATTCAAGGAATGAGAAGAAAGAAAATGTCTTATTTCTAAAAGACCTTGAGAGCTGTGAAATTCTGCCCAACACCATATTCCAAAGCAAGGAATTGGGACGGCAGTTTTGACACCAGAGGAGTTAGGTCATCATGGTGACCACCCCTCAGCTGGTGCCTTTTCGACCCGGAAGATTGGTGATGGTTGTTTAGAAAAAGTGCTAAACAACTATTATAGCAGATGGTGGAACTATTCTGATCACCTCAATTAAATTGAGTGGTTTTTATTCTCCTAAGTAGAATTTCATTTGTTGTCCTCATTCACTTAGACTCTTGGAAGTAAGAAAGTACTTACTCTTTTAAGAAAGTAATTGTGTCCAGTTTCTTCCTTATAAAGATTGAAGAAGCTGAGACTCAGAAATCTTAGCAGCGTCAGGCAGCTCACAGAGATGGGAGTAAACTTTTAATTCTATTCAGTTTAGTCTCTTTCCATTTGATACTAAGGCAATTATGACTTTGTTCCAATCTCTAAAATAATTTCTATTTATGTTTTTAGCCTCCATTCTTAGTTGTTTTTTGGTGAAGCAGAGGAATGTAGTATAATCCTCAAAAGAAGGCTTTTTTTTTTTTTAAACCAGATTTCTGATATATTTCCCAGAAATGTTGTGGTTGTGTGTTTTAACTTAGCATACTTTAGGTACAATTTCTTCGTAAAGTCACATGTGTTTTTTAAGTTTAAAGAAGGGAATTACAGGGTGAGGGGAAAGGGGAAAATGAATTACTCATAGACCCGTTAGCCTTCCACGACCCTGACTCCTGGGGAGAGTGGTGGCAGGCCCGATATTCTCCCATCCAAAGACCCTCTTCATAGCTGCTAGATTCCTTCATGGGCTCCCTCTCACCTTGTACTTGGGACTGTGCTGCAGGGGCAACGTTTCCTATTTCTTCTCTCTCTCAGCATGATAGGTTTACCCCTAGTTTTCACGAACATAATGCTAGTCTCATTTTTAATGACTGTGTAATGATTTGTTCTGTTACTCAACTCTTATTGCTCGTTCCTGTATTGTTTTTTTTATCTTTCAATCCTACAAACAGTGCTTAGAGGATGGTCTTTCTGCATTATTTGTTTCTTTTTCCTGAGTTCTGGATTGATGCTTCAGACCGTTTCTCACATGTGGATGCTTCTGGGCTAGGACATGTAGATCTAGGCTTCTCTGCTTTGTCATAAAGTCCCTTTCCCAGAGTAGCCTGGTCATTTACAGAGCTCTGTCCTGGGAGTCTGAGGAGCACCCTCCTTGTTAAGGCCTCACTGGACACCAGAGCTCTGAATCCTCACCCCTTGCCCAGACCACTTGCCAGCAGCCCCAGTGTTGACCCTGCAGGCCCAGGCTCACCTGGTTCCTGCAGGAGGGAGTTGGACTTTGGGGCCGCTGGTGTTGTCCTCCATGCAACTGCCACCAAACGCAGGGGGCAGCATCTGCTTCTGAACTGTGAGCAGTGACAGCAGAGCTCCTGCGTCTGGGGAGAGACGTTCCCCAAACACCAAACCCCTTCCAGACTCTGGCCAGGGGACCACTCTTCATCAGAAATCCTTTCCTGGTGTCTCCGTGTGAACCGACCCAGGTTGTGCCAAGTTTGTGGAATTTTTATTGTGGTTAGATCAAGAGTCTCCTTTGCCCTCTTTTGTGATGACAGGATCAGCCTGATGGTGATGCGAATGAAATCAGAGCCAGAGAGTCCCCACCCGGCTGAAATCCGTGTGAATTTCCAGGCTCCCTTTGGCTCCTCCTCATCCTCATACGTGCTTTTTATGTTCTACTGAGAATCACAGCAGAGAGTTTTCTCCTGCCCTCCCAGTTGACTGCTAACAGCATTTTTCCATGTTGCTCTGTGATTTCATGATTCCCCCTTGCTGGTTGCTTGGTATTCCATCGAGGGCACCCTTGTCTTGTTTTTGGACATAATCTGTTTCTGATTTCCCCACCATCACGAGCATGTAAAATGGATCTCTCCCTGGTAGGTCAGCTATCCCATGTGGTTATGGAACATTTCCTTCTCACATCTTCTCAGAAGTCATGTCTCTAGCTTACTGCTAGGCGTTTTTCATCTGTCTGATATATATTATCAAGCTCTCATGTAAGATGGCTGGCTCATATCCTCAAAACACCTCAACATTTACACAATAACTATGAATTATGGCTTTTTCTGTGGTAAGAAGAGATGTTGAGCTGCTCGCAAGTGGTCTGCTCGCTCTGATGCCCAAGGACCTGCTAGCCCACCTGCCATCTGTGGGCCTGTGTGTCAGCGCACCTGCCAAGGCGTCTGCTAGTGCCCTGTGAGAACATCTGCCAGCATGCATGGCCCCTGCTCATTCGGAAAAGCTGGAATCAATGGCAGAAAGAAGGCAGAGTGCTCCTTAGGGCTTTCCCCCCGGAGAGAGCGCTGCCAGAGGGACAGGACAGGACAACGGGCGGCTGTGCTCATTTGTGTACTTGGCTTTGTTGGTGTGGACGAACTATTTTTGTGTTTGGTGGAACTCTAGAGGCTTTTAAACCTGGAATTAAGATGCCCACATGCTCACATAGGGAAACTTGATTCTGGCAGAGGGGGAGCAAGTGAGAGCAGTCCTGGTCCCCAGGAGGACACCTTCTTGGTCTCCAGCCAGCAAGGCCCTGGTTCCCCTGTGAGTGAGCTCAGGTTAAGGGTGAACGCCTCACAAGTGAACACGCTGACTGCATCCACGGCCCCAAGGTCCACATGTACTTTGGCTTAAGTGGCAGGGATTCAGGCTAAAAGAGGGAGCAGGGTTTTTACAAAGCCCATTGTGTCCTTCTCTTAAGAAGAGGTGGCCCAGGAGAACACCCTAAGCCACTCTTTGCCACCTTGGGGAGCCAGGGTACTGGTGAGGCCAGGCTGCTCTGGTTCTTTCTACCCATGCTCTGAGCTCACTGCAAGCCAGGGCTCTTCGCACAGTCCTTCCCGGGTACCCTTTCCGAACCCCTGCATGATAGCTTTGTGAGATCCTGGAACTCATGCTTTTCTCATAGAAGTTTCTCAGAGGGACTCTGGGCCTTCCTATTTATAAAGGTAGTTGGGCTCAGGCTTCTGTGCTAATGTGACTGTCATCCAGACCCACACTGAGGCCACAAAGGTGCCTCAGCCCCCTCCCCAATGCCAAGGTTAAGTAAATACTGCGGGGGTGCAAATGGAATACTTCCTCTGGCGGGTGGAGGGCAGAGCCAGGTTGAAGGATCTGCTTTGCTGTCTTATGTGCCAGACCTTGATGTGGGAGCGGGCTCATCCTTGGGGCACTTACTCTCACATTTACCCAATCAGGGGCAAAACCATCTGCCTTCAGGTGCGCCTGGTGCCGTCACACCTGATGCACATCCCCATTGGTATCTTCCAGCCTGCAACGTGTGGTACCTGAATTCTGTGGAGATGGAGTCCCTCACTGGCCACCAGGCGGTCCAGAAGGCCCTGAGCATCACCCTCGTCCAGCAGCCGCCCCCTGTGTCCACTGTCGTGCACTTCAAGGTGTCAGCCCAGGGCATCACCCTGACGGACAATCAGAGGAAGTGAGTGCCCAGAGGGCAGCAGGGATCTGTCCAGCCAGGGCACACTACTGGTCACAGCGGGGGTGCCCATCCCTCCTGCCCTCCTCTGGTGTGAGTCCTCAGCCCCTGAGGTCATTAGGCATCCAGCATCTCTCTAGGCTTTTTCTGCCCAATAAATAGGTTCCAGGAACCACATATAAACTGTGAGTATTTGTCCTGAAGCCTTTTTTTTTTTAAGGAAATCAGTAGAAATTATTTTTAAAGATATTTGGTGCTTTGAACATGACATACGTATATAACTTGCAAATGTAAAATTCTTTTAAGTCACTTATTTTTTAACACTGAGAATGATCCTAATTCAGTGATCTTTTTTCTTTTCTTTCTTTTTTTTGTAGAGACAGAGTCTCACTTTGTCACCCTCAGTAGAGTTCCGTGGCATCATACAGCTCACAGCAATCTCCAAGTCCTGGGCTTAGGCAGTTCTCTTGCCTCAGCCTCCTAATTAGCTGTGACAACGCCTGGCTATTTTTTGTTGCAGTTTGGCCAGGGCCGGGTTTGAACCCACCACCCTCAGTATATGGGGCAGCACACTACTCACTGAGCCACAGATGCCACCCTCAGTGATCTTTTTTTATTGAACGTATTTTTTTTTTTAACTTGGGGCCCTCTCATTTCAAGCAAGAGTATGACTTTAATATAGATTATTTCTTTTGGCCAATTTAGAATGGCTTTTGTCACAGAGGGTGCTGACTTGGTTTGTGCTGGAGCAAGTGTTCCCAGGCAGGCATGAAAGACACCCTCAGCTTGAACTTAGAGCAGAGACCACAGGCTTGCCCCCCCTCCCACCATCCAGAATCAAAGGCATCTTAGATGCTGTTATCATATGTTTGTTAGGGAAACAGCCTGGTGGTTAAGGAGGTGAGTTGTTATCAACCCTAGAAAGAATGGGCAGTGACAGACAGGCCATCAGGGCTCCTCTAGACCAGCCTGAGCCTCTGCCCACAACGACGTGCCCCCACCACCCCGTGGTACCTGCTGCAGCTGTGTGTATCCCTTGGTGGGGATGTTTTCTTCATCTACTGAAACCATCTGGGAGGTTGAAGGCAGAACCTTCCTTCCTGTTGCTTTGGGGAAGGTCATGGGTTTAGCTGGTCACTTCTGAGTTTAGAGCCTTACCCCCAATGCTGACCAGTAGGGTGACCCCAGACAAGGTCCTTAATGCCATGATGCTCAGTTTCTTCATTTTTCAAACTTGCACCAGAATAAACTACTTCAAGATTTAGTGACGTGAATGAGTATAGAACTCAGTAAGTGCCCTGTGTGGCTTAGCTGGACACTGGACCTCAGGGTCAGGAGTATTGCTCAGAGTCAGGGTCAGGGTATGGTTAGGCTTCCCAGTGTACTCAGGGTCAGAGCTGTTGCTCAATCACACAGAGGATTCAAATCAGGTTCAAGTTCAGGGATGTGGCTTGACCACAGCGTCAGGGTCAGGGGTATGACAAGACTGCTCAGGGAACTCAGGGTCAGGGGTAGGGCTTCACCACACAGTGAACTCAGGGTTATTGTATGGCAAAGCCACACAGTAGACTCTGGGTCAGGGTCAGAATCAGGGACAAAGGTGTGGTTCAGCTGCACAGTGGACTCAGGGTCAGGGTCAGGGATGTGTCTTGGCCACAGAATGGACTCAGGATCAGGGTCAGGGAATGTGTCTTGGCCACAGAATGGACTCCAGGTCAGGGTATAGCTCATCCTCACAGAGCACTCAGGATCAGGAGTGTTGCCCAGTGGCACAGTGGACTCAGGGTCGGGTCAGCCTCCTTGAAGAGCCTCACAGTGCCCACCCTTCTCTCCTCCATACTGCCCTTCAAGGGTCTCTTACTTTTCACGTGATTTTTTTTTTAATGTACCCTTGTCAAGAGTATTTTTTTTTTTTTTTGTATCTCTTTAGTTTCCCTCTTTCTTATAAACCCTGCAGATAGGTAATGTTCACATCAGGCCAGGTATCCTATATTGCAAGAGACAGAATTTGAGTTCAGACTGGCTTATTTTAGACAAAAGGGGTATATTCTCTCCAACAACCAGCCTTAAAAGGCAGCTACTAGAGATGGCAGGTGAAGTGGGGATTGGTGGCTGCAGGGTCACCTCCGATGTCTTGGTTCTGCCTCTGGTCCTGCCTGTCTTCTGGCTTCTTGCTCATCCTCCAAATGGTTTTCTCCAACACACATTTGCCAGCATCTGGGGCACAGTTTGACAGCTCTCCCGGAGAAGGAGGAGAGAGCTGCCCGCAGCACCAGCTAGACTGGCCCAACCTGGACATGGACTACAGGGTGTTCTGATGGGCATCCTTAGGGTACCACTGGACCGGGCGGCCAGCACTGTCAGAGGAGGCAAGAAGGGCTGGGCAGGTGAGCCTGAGCAGAGGACTCCCTGGGCGCCGTCTCAGTGGCCGTGGGGAGCCCTCCCAGGCATATCCCATGCACAGGCCTGTAGAGTTCACTCAGTGCTGTCCCTGAATCTGCCTGTGCTGGGAAAGCCTGGGTCTTTCTAGACTGTTGTCACGGTCACCTTTTCACAGGTGAGAAAACAAGGTTCAGGGTCTTTAGGGGTTGGTTTCCTCACTGTGCTGCAGCCAGTGCGTCTGGCGGGTCTGTCTCACACCCCACCAGCTCCTCCAGTTTCTAGGGCTCCTCAATGCACTTCCCACCTTGCACACGGCTGGCAGTGTCACCTGTGTGGTGCTTCTGTTCCTGTTTCCAAGACCCACACTGCCCAACTTCAGGTTGCCTGTTGACTTGTAATGGGCACACACACTGTCCTCTGCTCCACAAATCTTCACATGTGGGGGAGCCTGTATCATGCATCCCCTAGGACCCCCAAACCCCAGTAACGGGACCGTCCTCTCTCTCCCATGTGCCAACAGGCTGTTCTTCCGGAGGCATTACCCCGTGAGCAGTGTGATTTTCTGTGCCTTGGATCCACAAGACAGGAAGTAAGACATTTGCATTGTTATTAAGTAAGGCATACACTTCATTTTACCCTTTAAGTTTAAAAATTAACTTACTGTTTGTCTTTTGTCTTTCTTTTGCTAGGTGGATCAAAGATGGGCCTCCCTCAAAGTAAGTTGCTAGGATTTCTTTCTGTTCTCTGGTTGTATGCATAGTCCAAAGTTGAATTCTTTTCCAGATTCCCATAGAAGGTGACTTATATAAGAAAACGACTAAGACATTAGTTACTTTTTTAAAAAGAGAAGAAAAAGTGAAAGCATTCTCATTACACAATATAGCAAAGGCCTGGATGGTGTTAACTTTTCTGATAACTGTTGGCCAGATGTGCGGTATTTACATAAAACACTGTGGTGTGGATGCAGTGAGAAGAGAGAGGGGCTGGGCCGCAGCAGGGCACGGCTAAAGCAGGTGTCCAGAACTGACCATAAGTGAGGGGGACGGTTTTCATCACCCCTTTGCTCTATAGCAGGATAGGCATTTGCTAGAGGCCCCTCTTGACAAGGGCACCCTTCCCTGGTTCTGTAGGTGCCCATGGCCATTTCCAGCCCTGCCCTTAGCAGGCAGAGGGACTTCATCTCAGCCTCCCTGTCAGAGGCATAACTGGCTGCATTCCCACAAGTGCATTTCCTCTGTGTCGTCTAGGTGTGGTAGCTGCCTAGATGTAGGAGGTGTCTGTGGAGGTGGTCACACCTCTAAAGCAGGGCCGTGCGCTGTCCCTCTCCTCCCCCAGCCTCAGGGGCCTCATCCACACAGAGGGTCAGATACTTTACCTGCAGGGGCCTCATCCACACAGAGGGTCAGATACTTTACCTGCAGGGACCTCATCCACACAGAGGGTCAGATACTTTACCTGCAGGGTCCTCATCTGCACAGAGGG